AATACAAAAAAAAGTGGACAATAGATGATACCATTAATATAAAAATTTGAATATGAAGAACAATACAAAATATGGGTTGTGGATACAGATAGATATTTGAAAAGTATAAAGGAAATTCAGGATACTGATAAGGGTGGAGAGAAAGAGATCAAACTTCTAAGATTTTATTTTTAAAACTGGAATATGAGTACACAGGTCTATTATTCTTTATAATTTGCAATGAATTAAACTTATGTTTAATAATAAAATTTTTAAAGCCACAAAAAATTTTTTAAAGCCATAAAGTTACAAAGACAAAAAACAAAACAAAACAAAAAAACCCAATATGTAGTGTTTTCCAATTTCTGTGGTGTAAAACACTCCCACCATGTTTAAGATACCAATGTGACAGGGCGCCTGGGTGGCTCAGTTGGTTAAGCGACTCCCTTCGGCTCAGGTCATGATCCTGGAGTCCCGGGATCGAGTCCCGCATTGGGCTCCCTGCTCGGCGGGGAGACTGCTTCTCCCTCTGACCCTCCTCCCTCTCATGTTCTCTGTCTCTCATTCTCTCTCTCTCTCAAATAAATAAATAAAAAATCTTAAAAAAAAAAAAAAGATACCAATGTGACATCATTGAATGCAGAGTTAATAAGAGATATACAGGGGTGCCTGGGTGGCTCAGTCGTTAAGCGTCTACTTTCAGCTCAGGTCATGATCCCGGGGTCCTGGGATAGAGCCCTGCATCAGGCTCCCTGCTTTGTGGGAAGCCTGCTTCTCCCCTCCCACTCCCTCTGCTTGTGTTCCCTCTCTCGCTGTGTCTCTCTCTGTCAAATAAATAAATAAAATCTTTAAAAAAAATAAGAGATGTACAGTAGCACATATATACTATTTTCACCATACAGATAACAATGGATGTAAATAATTTCAAAAGCATAGAATATAGTAAAATAATTAGGAATAATGAATTTTAAATATATTACCTGTGTCTTAAGTGATTTATTTAAGTAAATTTATATAATTTAAAATATATGTCTAAAAACTGGCTTACAAAATTCCTGAAAATTTAACAATCAATTCTCACAAGCCAGTGAAAGCCATGTCTAGCATACCACTGCATAAGTATGAATCCAAAACAGTTCTTTCTTTTTTTTTTTTTAAGGTTTTATTTATTTATTTGTCAGAGAGAGAGAGGGAGAGCACACAAGCAGGAGGAGCAGCAGGCAGAGGGAGAAGCAGGCTCCCCACTGAGCAGGGAGCCCAATGCGGGGCTCAATTCCAGGACACTGGGATCATGACCTGAGCCGAAGACAGACGCTTAACCAACTGAGCCACCCAGGCACCCCCAAAACAGTAATTTCTGAGTGATATCAGAGAAATTGTTGTGAAGAACCTCTGAAAATCCTCTTTGTCATAAAAGCAATGAGAATAATGGAAGAAGTGTAAAAATAAATTTACTCTGTTCTCTGGAAGTTAACAAAGGTTTCCAGTAATTCAGGGTGTGTTGATTACAAAAAAAAAAAAAAGATCGCTGAAAAGTGAGCTTTGTGCAATTTTAACTTCCCCTATTCTAATCTAGTCCATCTCCAGTTCTGTGGTAGCCTTGAAAAGCAACAATCACAGTGAAAACTACCAGTCTGGAAGTCACACAAGATGGAATAATGGATCAAAACTCCCTCAAACCTCCACTCCCAAAAAACTGTCATTATTTGACCTGTCTGATGGTTCTCTGGACAACCCAACTCATAGGCTGTCTTTATCTTATCTGACTTGGAGTTTGCCAGTGTAAATCTCTTCCCCCACCACCACACCCAAAGAAGTTTGTCCAAAACTATCAGAGACAAATGTTTAACAATGTGGTTGCCTGATGCATTGGACAATAGGGCAAACAAGAGGTCAACCAAAAAACTCAAAAGGGAAAACTGGGAAATAAGATGTCCATAGAGGGCTTTGAAAAGTTCTGATATGAACCTTGGTATTGAAATGGCAATACACTTCCAGGATTGTGCACATACTCAGGAATGACATGAGAAAGCCCTAAGTTCACCACTCTGGCTGACCTTGAGACTCTACATAAGGAGGAAATAGGCAGAATTTTAAACAGCCTGGCTGAGTGTTGACTACATACCCCAAATTGCATAGAGCCCCTCAGCAAACACTGGAACACCTACTGGTTGCAGGCATATAAAGACACCTCTGTCTAATCATTATTTCAGGAAACCATATTCAAAGAACTAAAGGAAAGCATGAGGACAATAGAGAATATCAATAAAGAGACAGAAATTATTTTTTAAAGGACAAAATAGAAATGCTGGAGTTGAAAAGTACAATAATCAAGTGAAAATTTCACTAACAGGCTCAATCGCAGATAAGAATCAGCAAAACTGAAAAATACATCAATTGAGATTATCCAATTTGAGAAAAAGGGGAAAAGAATGAAGAAAATGAACAAAGCCTCAGACACCTGAGGGACTACCATTTAACACTACAATATACTCATAATGGGTATCACAGGAGAGGAGACACAGAAGGGACAGAAAGGATATTTGAAGAATGGCTGAAAATTCCCCAAATTTGACAAAAAACAACACTGTACACATCCACAAAGTTCAATATATTCCAAGTAGGATAAATTCAAAGTGATTCATGTGTAGACACGTCACAGTGAAATCGTCAAAAGCAAAAGACAAAGAATTTTGAAAGTAGCAAGAGAGAAATGACTTGTCAAGTCCAAGGAACCTTTAACAGTTTGTTTCTCATTAGTAACCGATGAAGCCAAAAAAGTGGGATGACATATTCAAAGTGCTAAAAGAAAAGGACTTTTATTTTTATTTTATTTATTTATTTGTCAGAGAGAGAGAAAGAGAGCACAAGCAGGGGGAGCAGCCGGCAGAGGGAGAAGCAGGCTCCCCACTGAGCAGGGAGCCCAATGCGGGACTTGATCCCAGGACCCTGGGATCATGACCTGAGCCAAAGGCAGATCCTTAACCAACTGAGCCACCCAGGCACCCCAGGAAGACTTTTAACCAAGAATTATGTATCAAGCAAAATTATCTTTCAAAACTGAAAGATCCACTTTCATCATTACAGCATGAAGAGCGCTATGACCTGCTCCAAAATGAAAATTATTAAAGGAAGCAAAGAAAAACTAAAAAAACCCACAAAAAACAAAAACAAATTTTACACCCACCCCAATAAAAAAAAATTGGAAAAAAAGAAACCACTCAAAGCCTTTGGAAATTATCCTAAGAGCAAACAGCAAATGGAGAAACATCTCTTCAAGAAAATCTATAAATATTTGGTAGGAAAGGTGAGTATCTGTGGTTTTTCAGGAAGACTATTGCCTGACCCCTCCCCTCCCCCCGTGCTCCGGCCCCCCAGCTTAGTGAGGTGGAGACTCCAGCCAGACTGCTGCAGCCAAGAACACAGAATTGTTTCCTGTCTCAGCTACCAGCTGGAAGGCTTTGTTCCTGGGAGAAACAGGACTTAAGTGTTTCTCATCCCGCCCCCAGCTGTCTGTTGCTGAGACTAAGTCCTAAGTGAATGTGGTCAGGAGGCAGGCGCTCTCTTCTTTCACCCAACCTCTATCTTGGCCATGGCCCAGTGAGAATACTGGAGGAAGTATAATACAAGGGAAATGCAAGTTCAAACCACAATGAGATAACATTTCACATCCCCCAAGATGATATATAATAAAAACAAAACAAAACAAACAATACTAAGGGTCAGTGAGGAGAGATTTAGAAAAATTGGAACCTTCATAATTCCTAAACTCTAAAATGTAAAATAGTGCGTTTGCTTTGGAAAACAATTTGGCAGTTCCTCAAAAGATTAAATCTGGAGTTGTCATATGACCAGCATTTCCAATCCTAGGTCTATACCTAAGAGAACTGAATGATTCTTTTCATAAGAAAAGTCTAGAATAAGCACATCTATAGCAAAGAAAGTAGACTAGGGGAGCCTGGGTGGCTCAGTTGGAAGAGCATGCAACTCTTGATCTCAGAGTTGTTTTGTCTTGTTTTTTTAAGATTTTATTTATTTATTTGAGAGAGAAGGAGAGACAGTGAGAGAGTACAAGCGGGGAGGAGAGGGAGAAGCTGGCTCCCTGCAGAGCAAGGAGCCCGATGCGGGGCTCGATCCCAGGACCCTGGGATCATGACCTGAGCCGAAGGCAGACACTTAACCGACTGAGCCACCCAGGTGCCCCTTGATCTCAGGTTTTTAGTTTGAGCCCCACACTGGGTGTAAAGATTACTTAAAAAAATAAAATCTTTAAAAAAGAAAAGTAGATTAGTAGTTGCAGGAGTTGAGGGGAGAGAAGGAAGGGAAGAAAGGGGAGTGAATGCTAATGGTTATGAGGTTTCCTTTTGAGGTGGTAAGTATATTCTGGAATTAGCACTGGTAAATATTGCACAAGTTTATGCCAATAAAAAGTCCATTGAAGGGCGCCTGGGTGGCTCAGTTGGTTAAGCGACTGCCTTCGGCTCAGGTCATGATCCTGGGGTCTCGGGATCGAGTCCCGCATCAGGCTCCCTGCTCGGCGGGGAGTCTGCTTCTCCCTCTGACCCTCCTCCCTCTCATGCTCTCTGTCTCTCATTCTCTCTCTCTCAAATAAATAAATAAAATCTTAAAAAAAAAAAAAGTCCATTGAATTGCATACTTTAAAAGGGTGAGTTAGGGGGCACGTGAGTAGCTCAGTTGGTTAAGCTCTGCCTTCGGCTCAGGTCATGATTCTGGAGTCCCAGGAGGGAGCTTGCATGGGGTTCCCTGCTCAGTGAGGAGTCTGCTTCTCCCTCTCCCTCCACCCCTCCCCTTGCTCCTGCTTGCTCTCTCTCTGGCTCACTCTCTCAAATAAATAAATAAAATCTTTGAAAAAAAAGAGTGAGTTTGTGGTATGTGCTTTATATTGAGAGAGACAGAGAGGAATAACAGGAATAGTTACTTTCACTTGGTCATTATGGCTTAGGAGGTTGGAAATCACTTGGTCAGCCTTATGCATTGTCAACCAAACACTAATAGCTTACCTCAGTTCCTGTTTCTCTCCAATCCCAAACCCGACTTCCCCCTGGCCACACTTTGCAGTCCTTATAGGTTTTAGTAGAGCCTTGTACTTTCATTTGCCCCCATGATAGGGAAGCAATTTCAGGGGAGGACATAAGGAACTTAACTGAACTCTGAAATTAAAAGAAAAATATGTTAAATAAGTTATGAAGTAAGGTTGAAACAACTCCAAAAGACAGGAGCTATACTATATACAAAAATGTATTTTAAAATATAATACTATATACAAAATGCAGTAAACCCTAGTCCCTTATGAGTTAAGAAGCATCTTTGTCATTTACATGGTTGTGACTTCTTCTCTAGAGGTCTAAAAAGTAAAATGTTGAGTGCCTAGGTGGCTCAGTTGTTAAGCGTCTGCCTTCGGCTCAGGTTATGGTCCCAGGGTCCTGGGATCGAGCCCCACATTGGGCTACCTGCTCCACGGGAAGCCTGCTTCTCCCTCTCCCAATTCCTCTTGTGTTCCCTCTCTCGCTGTGTCTCTCTCTGTCAAATAAATAAATAAAATCTTTAAAAAAAATAAATAAAAAGTAAAATGCTAACTCTTGGGATCCTGAATCATTTGATACTAGATACTACATTACTTCTCAAACTGGATGGAATTCTTGATATTTTTTGAGAGATAAAATTAAAAGATTTACTTCAGCATAATGGAGTGAGGAGGTTGACACATCATTTCTCCAAAAAGCAAGTATAAAGCTGGATAAACCTTTCAAAATAATAACTTGATACTCTAGAAATAATAAAGGCATACTATAAGCTGAGAAACACTTATTTATGAAAACCACTGAATTTCGGAGGACAGTAACATGGCTTGTTGTTCCTGCCTGGGATTACTGTCATGCCCTCAATCAGTTCAGTTGGCACAGAGATTCAACTTGGTTGAGGCAGGATATGAAAATCAACAACAGTCTTGTTGCTTTGGCCAGAGGAGGCTTGATTAATTTAGAGCATTATATATTAAATTGGTGATCTCAGTGGCAAGCAAATATGGATGGCAGGTGGCTCTGCTTCCTTGCTATCGTGGGCCTGTTTGGGGCAAGCAATGGATTTGCAGAGTAGGCAGGGATTTAACAGGAATTTCTCAGAGCTGACATAGCCATAGGGGCCTTGATGAGCTCTCCACATATCCGGAGTGGACCAAATGCTGTGAGTGTATGTATCAAAGACAAAAACCGAGGAGGCCTAAATCATGCAAACATTTTGGGCTTGTGGAGCCAACAGCACATGCAAAATTGAGAAGCAAGATGGCTCAAGAGGACTTAGAATAATGTAAAAGCCAGGCAAGAAATGAAAACAGTCTGAACATTGCATACTCCTCAGTGCACACATTGACCCACAAGTACAGAGTAAAAGTCTTACTGGCGTGAGGTATTTGAGCACAATCTTTCTTTGACTGAACACAAAGCTATATAGACACAGAGGAGACCCCTAGGAAGCCAAGCTTAAGAAAAAAAAAAAGAATAAAAATTAAAGGGGTGCTTGGCTGGCTCAGTTGGAAGAGCATGTGACTCTTGATCTCGGGGTCATGGTCCAAGTCCCATGTTAGGTGTAGAGATTATAAATAAATAAATAAATAAATAAATAAATAAATAAATAAATAAATAAATAAATAAAAATAATAAATTTTAAAAAATGAATAAAATTTAAAAACGGATCCTAGTGGCCACACATTGCATGGGAGATAGAATTCACAGATTTAGTCTAGGCAAGTGATTAAGTACAAAGAATAACATGCGGGGGGTGAAATCAGAATCCAGACTTTAATATACTATCTAAAATATTCAGTTTTGACCAAAAAATTGTAAGACATGCAAAGAAACGGGGGCACCTGGGTGGCTCAGTCGGTTAAGTGTCTGCCTTCAGCTCAGGTCATGATCCCAGGGTCCTGGGATCGAGCCCCAAGTCAGGCTCCCTGCTCAGCAGGGAGTCTGCTTCTCCCTCTGCCCCTCTCCCTGCTCATACTCTCTCCCTCTCAAATTAATAAAACCTTTAAACAAAAAGACATGCAAAGAAACAAAAAATATGAACCATACTCATCAACTGAAACTGTATCTGAGTGTTCCCATATGTTTGCTTTAGCAAAGATTTCAAAGAAATTATTATAAATATATTCAGGGAACTAAAGAAACCATATATAAAGAATTAAACAAAATTACGATGACAATAACTTACTCAACATAGAATTGCAATAAAGAGGAAGACTTTTCAAAAAAAGAATCATACAAATTCTAGTATTTATAAGTAAAATAACTAAAAGGTTAATTGTAATAGTCAAGGTTCTACAGAGAAACAGAACCAGTAGATCATGCATATTATGAGATTTATTTCAAGGAAGTGTCTCATGTACTTGTGGGGAGCGGCCAGTCCAAAATGTCTAGGCAGGTTGGCAGGCTGCTAACTCTTGGGCAGAAGTTGTCATTGTAGTAACAATGTGTTGGTTCTTCTTCCTGAAGGAAACCTCAGTTTTGCTTTTAAGGTCTTTCAACTGATTGGTTGAGACGTACCAAGAATATCGAGGACAATCTCCTTTATTTAAAAGTCAACTGATTGTAGATGTTAACATCTACAAAACACCGTCAAGTAACCCTTAGATTAGCATTTGATTGAATAACTGGGTACTGTAGCCTAGCTAAATTGACATTTAAAACTAACCATCACAGTCCACCCCTTGTCAATTTGGCACCTATATATATGTCCTTAAACCATATTTAATCTCCAAATAAACATATTAGCAAAGTGATACTTCTGCCTATCATTAATAACTACTAATCCGGGCGCCTGGGTGGCTCAGTTGGTTAAGCGACTGCCTTCGGCTCAGGTCATGATCCTGGAGTCCCTGGATCGAGTCCCGCGTTGGGCTCCCTGCTCAGCGGGGAGCCTGCTTCTCCCTCTGACCCTCCCCCCTCTCATGTGCTCTCTCTCTCTCATTCTCTCTCTCTCAAATAAATAAATAAAATCTTTAAAAAAAAAACTACTAATCCATTTTTGCAGCTTCAAATACTGAATATCCATTTTTAAAATACATAGCAAAGTACATAAACACATTATTTTAGGTGCTATGGGAGGAAGATACAAATTTATAAGACATGATTCCTGTTCTTAGGAACTAATATTACCCTAGAGGAGAGAAGACAAATAACTATATATTTTTTTTAAAGATTTTATTTATTTATTTGAGAGAGAGAGAATGAGAGAGAGCACATGAGAGGGGGGAGGGCCAGAGGGAGAAGCAGACTCCCTGACGAGCAGGGAGCCTGATAAATAACTATACTTTTTTAAGGTAATTTTTTTTTAATATGAAGTAACTTTTGAAAAGTGGTGTAAGGGGGGCGCCTGGGTGGCTCAGATGGTTGAGCATCTGCCTTCAGCTCAGGTCATGATCCCGGGGTCCTGGGATCGAGTACCGCATCAGGCTCCCTGCTCCTTGGGAGCCTGCTTCTCCCTCTGCCTCTCTCTCTCTCTCTGTCTCTCATGAATAAATAAAATCTTTAAAAAAAAAAAAAGAAAAAGAAAAGTGGTATAAGGGAAGTATAATGAGTTGTTAATGAGTGTTGAGAAAGACTTCTGTGTTAGTCTTCTAAAGCTTCCATAACACAATATGGCAGACTGAGTGGCTTAAAAAACAGAAATTGATTTTCTCACAGTCTGGAGGCTGGAAGTCCAAGATCAAGAGAGGTGCCTCTCTTCCTGCTTGCAGATGGATTCCTCCTTGCTTTTTTTCTTTTTCTTTGTCCCCACATGGCCTTTTCTCTGTGCATTAGTACTCTTGGTGTCTTTCTTGGTCTTTTGGGAAGGGGGTGGGGGGGGTTCAAATTCCTAATTCAATCTTTTTACTAGTTATAATTCCATTCAGATTTTCTTGAGTTTCAATAGTTTCTGTTCTAGGAATTTGTTCACTTCCTTTAGATTATCTGATTTGTAGGCATACAGTTATTTATAATGTTCCTTTATAATCCTTTTTAAAATTACTATGGATAGTGATGTCCCCTTGTTCATTTCAGATTTTAGTTTCTTGACTTTTCTATTTTCATCTTGGCCAGTCTAGCTAAAGATGTGTGAATTTTGTGGTTATTTTCAAAGAATCAACTTTTGGATTTGTTGCTTTTCTCTATTTTTCTATTCTCTATTTCATTAATATCTATACTTATCTTTATTATTTCCTTCCTTCTATTCATTTTGTGTTTAGTTTGCTTTTTTCCAGTTTTTTAAAAAAAGATTTTATTTATTTATTTGAGAGAGAGAGAGAGATAGCAAGAGAGAGAGAGCATGAGCAGGGGGGAGAGGGAGAAGTGGGCTCCCTGCTCAATGTGGGACTCAATCACAGGACCCTGAGATTATGACCTGAGCTGAAGGCAGACGCTTAACCGACTGAGCCACCCAGGTGCACCACTTTTTTTCAGTTTTTTAAAGATGGAAAGTTAGGCTTTTTAAATACAAGTCATCTTTTTTAATACAAGTATTTACATATAGCTGCATATTTCTTTTAAGGAGTGCTTTAGGTGCATCCCCTAAGTTTTGATATCTTATGTTTTCATTTTTATCCATCTAAAAGTATTTTCTAATTTTCCTTGAGATTTCTTCTTTGAACCATTGATTATTTCAGTGTCTGTCACTTAATATCAGCATATAAATGAGTTTTCCAAATTTTCTTGTTTTTGATTCTGGTCTAACTCCATGTTTGGAAAACACATTTGGCATAATTTGAACACTTTTAAATTTGTTGAGACTTCTTTTTTATGCCTTAGCACATGGTTTACCTTGGAGAATTTTCCATGTGCACTTGAGAAAAATGTGTATTCACTATGTTTGTGCAGCGTCCATAGGTGTCTGTTAGGTCTAGCTATTCTTTTTTTTTTAGATTTTATTATTTATTTGACAGAGAGAGACACAGCAAGAGAGGGAACACAAGCAGGGGGAGTGGGAGAGGGAGAAGCAGGCTTCCCGCGGAGCAGGGAGCCTGATGCGGGGCTCGATCCCAGGACCCAGGGACCATGACCTGAGCTGAAGGCAGACACTTAACCAACTGAGCCACCCAGGCGCCCCTAGGTCTAGCTATTTTATAGTATTTTCAAGCCTATTTTTTTTGTTGACATTCTTCCTAGTTTTCCTAGAT